TTTTTTTTTGTGATCTCAAGTGTCCTGATGGGGTTTTTTGGGATCCTGAGGATCCTGCTGGGATTTTTTGGAATCCTGAAGAAACAAGGAGCCCTTGGAATTCAGGATGGAGGAAGAAGGAGTTGATTCATTCCCGGAAACCCGGGATAGGATCCCAAAAATCCCCGGATTACGGGAAGGGATTCTTGGAGGTGGGGAATCTGCTGGAATCCCTGGCCGAGGATGCCGATCCCTAAAAAAAACCACCAGGACCTCCAATCCCTTTGGGAAATCCGGGACAATTCCTCCTGCTCCCGCCTCCAGGGGGTCGGGATTCCCCCGGAATGTTGTTGGGGGGGTGGGAATCCTGCATCCCAAGGCGGGAATTCCACCACCCCCGCAGTGCTGATGAAGAAGCTGGACCACCCGCACATCGTGAAGCTCATCGGCATCGCCGAGGAGGAGCCCACCTGGATCATCATGGAGCTCTATCCCTACGGAGAGGTGCGACCCCCGCCCCGCTTCCCCGGCCCCGTTCCCGACCCCGTTCCCGGCGTTCCCGCGGCTGATCCCGGCGGGAACGTGGCGTTTGCAGCTGGGCCAGTACCTGGAGCAGAACCGGCTGGGCCTGGCCGTGCCCACCCTGGTGCTGTACGCGCTGCAGGTCAGCAAGGCCCTGGCCTACCTGGAGGCCATCAACTGCGTCCACAGGTGATCCGGGATGGGGCCGGAGCCCCCTGGAATTCCGGGATGGGCGAGGGGAGGTGGGGTCGTGGAGGGGGGCGGTGCTGGGGGATGGGAGTGGGCGGAGGGACGGGGTGGGGGTGGGGTCTTTGGGGCTCCGTTGGGCAGTTGGGGTTCTTCTTCTGCATCCCATCCGCGTCCATCCCACCCCAGGGATCCCATCCCATCCCCTTATTCCATACTGCCAGTTTTTTTTGGGATCCTGAGGTCCCTTTTGGGTTTTTTTTTTTTGGATCTTGAGGCTCCTGCCAGGGTTTTTTGAGATGCTGAGGCTCCTTTTGGGTTTCTGGGGATTCTGAAGGTCCTGATGGGTTTTTTTTAGGATCCTTAGGGTCCTGATGGCGTTTTTTTGGGATCCCGAAGGTGCTGGTGGACTTTTTTGGGATTCCAAGGGTCCTGCTGAGGTTTTCTGGGATGCTGAAGGCTCTGCTGAGGTTTTTTGGGATCCTGAGCCTCCTTTTGGGGTTTTTTTTTTTGGATCCTGAGGCTGCTGCTAGGGTTTTTTGGGATGCTGAAGGTCCAGTTGGGTTTTTTGGGGATTCTGAGGGTCCTGCCATCATTTTTTTTGGGTTTCCAAGGCTTCTGATGGTGTTTTTTTGGGATCTTGAGGGTCCTGTCATGGTTTTTTTGGGATCTTGGGGGTCCTGATGAGGTTTTTTGGGATCCAGAGGGTTCTGATGGGTATTTTTGGGATCTCAAGGGTCCTGCCATGGTTTTTTGGGATCCTGAGGGTGCTGCCAGGGTTTTTGGGATCTTGATGGTCCTGTTGGAGTTTTTTGGGATCTTGAGGGTCCTGCCATGTTTTTCATTACCCCATTATCCCATTACCCCATTATCCCATCATCCCATCCCATATCCCAAGTCCCATATCCCAAATCTCATATCCCATATCCCAAATCCCATCCTATCCCACCCCATCCCATTGTCCCATCCCGTCCCATTATCCCATCCCATTCCATCCCATCTCCCTTCTCTCCATCCCAATCCCAATCCCAAACCCAATCCCAAATCCCATCCCATCCCAACTCATTATTCCATTCCATTCCATCAATCCCATCCCCATCTCCATCCCTTCTCTCCATCCCATCCCATTATCCCATCCTATTACCACATCCCATCCCATCCCATATCCCCTATCCCATATCCCAAATCCTATATCCCAAATCCCTTATCCCAAATCCCATCCCATCCATTATCCCATCCCCTCCCCTGGATCCCATCCCATTATCCCATTATCCCATTATCCCATTATCCCGATATCCCGTTATCCCATATCCCATATCCCAAATTCCAAATCCTGTATCCCAATATCCCGATATCCCGTCTCCCGTCCCCGCAGGGACATCGCCGTCAGGAGCATCCTGGTGGCCTCTCCTCTCCATTATCATATCCCAAATCCCATTATCCCAAATCCCAAGTCCCATGTCCCATTATCCCACATCCCGTATCCCGTATCCCGATATCCCGTTATCCCAGTATCGCGTCCCCGCAGGGACATCGCCATCAGGAACATCCTGGTGGCCTCTCCTGTCCATTATCCCAAATCCCAAATCCCCTATTCCATATCCCAAATCCCATTATCCCATTATCCCAAATCCCAAGTCCCGTGTCCCATTATCCCATATCCCGTATCCCGTATCCGGACAACCCGTTATCCCAATATCGCGTCCCCGCAGGGACATCGCCATCAGGAACATCCTGGTGGCCTCTCCTGTCCATTATCCCAAATCCCAAATCCCAAATTCCCTTATCCCAAGTCCCATTATCCCATATCCCAAATCCCGTATCCCATTATCCAGTTATCCCAATATCCCGTCCCCGCAGGGACATCGCCGTCAGGAACATCCTGGTGGCCTCTCCTCTCCATTATCCCAAATCCCAAATCCCATTATCCCCTATCCCACATCCCATATACCATATCCCGTTATCCCGTTATCCCAATATCCCGTCCCCGCAGGGACATCGCCGTCAGGAACATCCTGGTGGCCTCTCCTCTCCGTTATCCCAAATCCCGTTATCCCGTTATCCCAATATCCCGTCCCCGCAGGGACATCGCCGTCAGGAACATCCTGGTGGCCTCTCCTCTCCATTATCCCAAATCCCAAATCCCATTATCCCAAATCCCATTATCCCATTATCCCGATATCCCATTATCCCATATCCCATTATCCCAAATCCCATATCCCGTATCCCGTTATCCCACCCATTATCCCAAATCTCCCCGCAGGGACATCGCCGTCAGGAACATCCTGGTGGCCTCTCCTCTCCATTATCCCAAATCCCAAATCCCATTATCCCAAATCCCATTATCCCATTATCCCAAATTCCAAGTCCCGTATCCCATTATTCCCTATCCCATATCCCAAATCCCGTATCCCGTTGTTATCCCGTTATCCCGTCCCTGCAGGGACATCGCCGTCAGGAACATCCTGGTGGCCTCTCCTCTCCATTATCATATCCCAAATCCCATTATCCCATTATCCCAAATTCCAAGTCCCGTATCCCATTATTCCCTATCCCATATCCCAAATCCCGTATCCCGTTGTTATCCCGTTATCCCGTCCCTGCAGGGACATCGCCGTCAGGAACATCCTGGTGGCCTCCCCGGAATGCGTCAAGCTGGGAGACTTCGGCCTCTCCCGCTACATCGAGGACGAGGAATACTACAAAGGTGGGATCCCGTGGGATCGGGGGTCCCGTGGGTCCCTCGGGATGGCGCGGGGGGAACGGGGGCGGATCTCGGGATCATGCCGGGGTCATTCCAGCTTCCGTCACCCGCCTGCCCATCAAGTGGATGTCGCCGGAATCCATCAACTTCCGGCGCTTCACCACGGCCAGCGACGTCTGGATGTTCGGTGCGTGCCGGGATCCTGGGATTCAGAGGGGGATCCCGGGATTCATCATCGTGGGGTGGGATCCTGGGATTGATCCGCTTCTTGTGGAGTGGGGTGGGATCCTGGGATTGATCCACTTCCCATGGCATGGAATGGGATCCTGGGATTGATCCAATTCCTGTGGAATGGAATGGGATCCCAGGACTGATCTGTTTCCCATGGCATGGAGCAGGATCCTGGGATTCAGAGGGGGATCCTGGAATTCATCATGGAATGGGATCCTGGGATTGATCCACTTCCCGTGGAGTGGGGCGGGATCCTGGGATTGATCCACTTCCTGTGGAATGGAATGGGATCCCGGCATTCAGCATCGTGGGGTGGGATCCTGGGATTGATCCACTTCCCGTGGTGTGGAGTGGGATCCTGGGATTCAGAGGGGGATCCTGGAATTCATCATGGAATGGGATCCTGGGATTGATCCACTTCCCGTGGTGTGGAGTGGGATCCTGGGATTCACCTGATTCCCATTTTGTGGGATGGGATCCTGGGATTCAGAATGGGATCCCGGAGTTCATCATCATGAGGCGGGATCCTGGGATTGACCCACTTCTGGTGGAATGGAGCAGGATCCCGGGATTGATCTGTTTCCCACAGCGTGGAGCAGGATCCTGGGATTCAGAGGGGGATCCCGGGATTCATCATCGTGGGGTGGGATCCTGGGATTGATCTGCTTCCCAAGATGTGGGGTGGGATCCTGGGATTCAGAATGGGATCCCAGACTTCATCACCTTGGGTGGGATCCTGGGATTGATCCACTTCCCATGGGGTGGGGTGGGATCCTGGGATTCAGAGTGGGATCCTGGAATTCATCATCGTGGAGTGGGATCCCAGGATTGATCCTCTTCCCGTGATGTGGAGTGGGATCCTGGGATTCATGCAATTCCCATGGCATGGAATGGGATCCTGGGATTGATCCTCTTCCCGTGGTGTGGGGTGGGATCCTGGGATTCAGAGTGGGATCCCACAATTAATTCATCCTCATGGGGTGGGATCCCAGGATTGATCCTCTTCTTGTGGCATGGAATGGGATCCTGGGATTCAGAGTGGGATCCCGGAGTTCACCATCGTGGAGCGGGATCCCAGGATTGATCCCTTCCCCATGGCGTGGACTGGGATTCTGGGATTCACCTAATTCCCATGGCATGGAGCAGAATCCCAGGGCTGATCCTTTTCCCGTGGCACGCCCAAGGACAAATCCCACTCCGGAATTTCCCAACTTTCTTCCCAGCTCCAGATTATCCCAATTTTTTCTCCTGGGAGAAGCCATCCTAGGGAAGGGCTTCCATTCACCCATCCAAATTCCAGGTGCTTCCTCCTCCTCATCCAGGGATTTCAGGGAAGTTTTGGGATGAGCTAAACTCTCCCCACTCCAAAAAAATCCCAATCTCCAGCCCCTCTGGAATCAGGAATTCTGTGTATCCCACCACAAAGTGCCACCAGATCCCCCCAAAAAAAACCCCAGGAAGGGGCAGATTCCCGGGAATTCCGGTGGCCTGAGGCTGTTCCGGTCGCTCCCGCAGCCGTGTGCATGTGGGAGATCCTGAGCTACGGGAAGCAGCCGTTCTTCTGGCTGGAAAACAAGGATGTGATCGGAGTCCTGGAAAAAGGGGATCGGCTTCCCAAGCCCGACCTCTGCCCGCCCATGCTCTACACGCTCATGACGCGCTGCTGGGACTACGATCCCGGGGAAAGGCCCAAATTCCAGGAGCTGGTCTGCAGCCTCAGGTGAGCCTGGAATGCTGGAGGAACTGGAGGATCCATGGAACGGGTGGGAACGTTGCGGGGGAAAAGCTTGCAAAAATTTGGGATCGGGAGATTTTATGGGAGAGTTTGGGTCTTGCTGGGGAGGGATTGCTCCCATTCCAAAGGGTCTCCAAGGCTTCTCCAAGCCCAAATTCCAGGAGCTGCTCTGCAGCCTGAGGTGAGCCTGGAATGCTGGAGGATCCATGGAACGGGTGGAAACATTGTGGGGAAAAATCTGGGAAAAGTTTGGCAGTTTTTATGGAAAATTTTGGGTTCAGAGCCTTTCCCAGGAAGCGAAACACTCCGAAGGGTCTCCAAGGCTGGGAATTCTGGAGGATCCATGGAGGCATGGAGGGTTGGGAATGCGGATGAAAAATCTGGGAAAAGCTTGGAATTGGGAGCTTTTATGGAAAAGTTTGATCTTGGAGGAGCCTTGGAGACCCTTTGGAAGGGGATGGGATGGAAGGGCTTTGCTTCCCGGGAAAGGGTCTCCAGAGGGTCTCCAAGGCTCCTCCAAGCCCAAATTCCAGGAGCTGCTCTGCAGCCTGAGGTGAGCCTGGAATGCTGGAGGAACCACGGAAGGGGTGGGAATGTCGCGGGGGAAAAGCTTGGAAAAGTTTGGGATCGGGAGATTTTACGGGAGAGTTTGGGTCTTGCTGGGGAGGGATCGCTCCCATTCCAAAGGGTCTCCAAGGCTTCTCCAAGCCCAAATTCCAGGAGCTGCTCTGCAGCCTGAGGTGAGCCTGGAATGCTGGAGAAGCCATGGAACCGGTGGGAATACTGGGAGTGAAAATCTGGGAAAAGCTGGGGATCCAGAGTTTTTATGGAAAAGTTTGGGTTCAGAGCCTTTCCTGGGAATCAAAACACTCCAAAGGGACTCCAAGGCTGGGAATTCTGGAGTGGGATGGAGAGGTGGGAATGAGGAGGAACAATCTGGGAAAAGCTTTGGAATTGGGAGCTTTTATGGAAAAGTTTGGTCTTGGAGGAGCCTTGGAGACCCTTTGGAGGAGGATGGGATTGGAACGGATTTGCTTCCTGGGAAAAGGAATTGCAGGGAATTCTGCTCCCACATCTCACTGGGATCAGCCCTGGGAATTCTGGAGGGGTGGAAATGTCAGGGGAAAAGTCTGGGAAAAGCTTGGAATTAGGAGCTTTTATGGAAAAGATTGGGCCTGGAGGAGCCTTGGAGACCCTTTGGAAGGGGATGGGATGGAAGGGCTTTGCTTCCTGGGAAAGGGTCTCCAGAGGGTCTCCAAGGCTCCTCCAAGCCCAAATTCCAGGAGCTGCTCTGCAGCCTGAGGTGAGCCTGGAATGCTGGAGGAACCACGGAAGGGGTGGGAATGTTGTGGGGGAAAAGCTTGGAAAAGTTGGGGATCGGGAGATTTTACGGGAGAGTTTGGGTCTTGCTGGGGAGTGATCGCTCCCATTCCAAAGGGTCTCCAAGGCTCCTCCAAGCCCAAATTCCAGGAGCTGCTCTGCAGCCTGAGGTGAGCCTGGAATGCTGGAGGATCCATGGAACGGGTGGGAATGTTGCGGTGAAAAAGCTTGGAAAAGCTTGGGATCCAGAGTTTTTATGGAGAATTTCGGGTTCAGAGCCTTTCCTGGGAATCAAAACACTCCAAAGGGACTCCAAGGTTGGGAATTCTGGAGTGGGATGGAGAGGTGGGAATGAGGAGGAACAGTCTGGGAAAAGCTTTGGAATTGGGAGATTTTAAGGAAAAGTTTGGTCTTGGAGGAGCCTTGGAGACCCTTTGGAAAGGGATGGGATGGAAGGGCTTTGCTTCCCGGGAAAGGGTCTCCAGAGGGTCTCCAAGGCTCCTCCAAGCCCAAATTCCAGGAGCTGCTCTGCAGCCTGAGGTGAGCCTGGAATGCTGGAGGAGCCATGGAACCGGTGGGAATATTGGGGGAGAAAATCTGGGAAAAGCATGGGAACTGGGAGCTTTTACGGCAAAGTTTGGGTTCAGAGCCTTTCCCGGGAAGTGAAACATTCCTCCTCCAAAAGGAATTCTGGAGGATCCGTGGAGAGATGGATTGCTGGGAATCTGGAAGGAAAATCTGGGAAAAGTGTGGGATTGGGAGTTTTTGTGGAAAAGTTTGGGTTCGGAACCTTTCCTGGGAATCAAAACACTCCAAAGGGACTCCAAGGCCGGGAAGTGGGATGGAGAGGTGGGAACGTGGAGGAAGAAGCTGGGAAAAACTTGGGATGGGGAGTTTTTATGGAAAAGTTCGGGTGTAGAGCCTTTCCGGGGAAGCGAAACCCTCCAAAGGGTCTCCAAGGCGGGAATTCCCGGGATGTCACCCCCGTGTCCCCTCCCCGCAGTGACATTTACCTGATGGAGAAGGAGCTGGCCAAGGAGCAGGAGAGGAACAACCGGCACCGCCCTCCCAAAATCCTGGAGCCGCCGGCATTCCAGGAGCCCCCTCCCAAGGTTGGGACGGGGCGGGGCCCTCGGCGGCGCCGAAATTCGGGATTTCCCGGACGGGATTCCGGAGGAATTCCCGCCTTTTTTCCCCATTCCCGCAGCCCAGCAGGCCCATGTACAAGCCGCCATCCCAGAATAACCTCCTGGCTCCCAAGCTGCAATTCCAGGTGAGGAATTCCAGGATTTGGGCGGGGTTGAGGATGGGAGATCGCAGGAATCCCGTGGATTTTGGGATCGGAGGTGCTTCCGGCTCCGGGTTGTGTCCGTCAGGGAATCCCGGAATTGTTGAGGTTGGAAAAGCTCTTGGAGACCTTGGAGTCCAACCAATCCCACCCCGGATCCGCGTCCTCCCCCCCAGAATCCACGTGGATTTGAATCCATCCAGGAATTCCGGGGATTCACCCACCGCTCTCCAGGGCTGGAGGGCTTTTCCATGCAGGAGTTATTCCCGATATCCCAAAATATCCCAAAATATCCTGAGCCCACTTTTAGGACGAGCCCGATCCCGGGGATGGCTCCTGGCGCAATTCCTGCTCTTTGCAGGCCAGAATATTCCAGAATATTCAAAAATATCCCATAATATTCCAAGCCCACTTTTAGGACGAGCCTGAACCTGATCCAAGATGGCTCCTGGCACAATTCCCGCTCGTTGGAGGCCAGAATATCCCAAAATATCCCAAAAATATCCGAAAATATTCCAAGCCTACTTTTAGGATGCAGCCAATCCCAATCCAGGATGGCTCCTGGCGCAATTCCCACTCTTTGGAGACCAGAATATTCAAAAATATCCCAAAATATCCTAAAATACCCCAAAACATTCCAAAATGTCCCAAAATATCCCAGAATATTCCAAGCCCATTTTTAGGACGAGGACAATCCCGATCCCAGGACGGCTCCTGGCGCATGCTCTTTGCAGGCCAGAATATTCCAGAATATTCAAAAATATCCCATAATATTCCAAGCCCATTTTTAGGACGAGGCCAATCCCGATCCCAGGACGGCTCCTGGCGCAATTCCTGCTCTTTGCAGGCCAGAATATTCCAGAATATTCAAAAATATCCCATAATATTCCAAGCCCATTTTTAGGACGAGGCCAATCCCGATCCCAGGACGGCTCCTGGCGCAATTCCTGCTCTTTGCAGGCCAGAATATTCCAGAATATTCAAAAATATCCCATAATATTCCAAGCCCATTTTTAGGACGAGGCCAATCCCGATCCCAGGACGGCTCCTGGCGCAATTCCTGCTCTTTGCAGGCCAGAATATTCCAGAATATTCAAAAATATCCCATAATATTCCAAGCCCACTTTTAGGACGAGCCCGATCCCGGGGACGGCTCCTGGCGCAATTCCCGCTCTTCGGAGGCCAGAATATCCTAAAATATCCCAAAATATCCCAAGCCCAGGGACGAGGCCGATCCCCATCCCGGGACGGCTCCTGGCACAATTCCCGCTCTTTGGAGGCCAGAATATTCCAAAATATCCTAAAATACCCCAAAATATCCCAACATATCCCAAAATATCCTAAAATATTCCAAAATATCCCACAATATCCCAAAATATCCCAAGCCCAGGGACGAGGCCGATCCCGATCCCAGGACGGCTCCTGGCACAATTCCCGCTCTTCGGAGGCCAAAATATCCCAAAATATCCTAAAATACCCCCAAATATTCCAACATAATATCCCAAGCCCATTTTTAGGACGAGGCCGATCCCGATCCAGGGACAGCTCCCGGAGCAATTCCTGCTCTTTGGAGGCCAGAATATCCCAAAATATCCTAAAATACCCCCAAATATTCCAAAATATCCTAAAATACCCCAGAATATCCCAAAATATCCCAGAATATCCCAAGCCCACTCTTAGGACGAGGCCGATCCCGATCCCGGGGACGGCTCCTGGTGCAATTCCCGCTCTTTGGAGGCCAGAATATCCCAAAATACCCCAAAATACTCCAATATATCCCAAAACATCCCAGAATATCCCAAGCCCACTCTTAGGACGAGGCCGATCCCGATCCCGGGGACGGCTCCCGGCGCAATTCCCGCTCTTCCCGTGCTCCCGCTCCGTCCGTGTGTCCGCACTAACGCCTTCCCGCGGGCTTCTCTCGCCCCTGCGCCGCCGCCGCCGCCGCTCCCGCGCAATTCCCGAATTCCCAGGTTCCGGAGGGGCTCTGTGCCAGCTCTCCCACCCTTGCCAGTCCCGCCGAGTACCAGACTCCGGCAAATTCCCGGCGCACTCCGCCTCCCAGCCGGCACAGCGTCTTCAAGCGCCACAGCATGAGGGTAAGCCCGGAATTCCCGCTGGGATTCGGCATCTGGAGGAATTCCCGATCATCAAAAATCGTGCCGTTGTTGGGATCCGCTTCTCGCTGGGATTCGGCATCTGGAGGAATTCCCAGTCCTGAAAAATTGTCCCGTTGGAATTCGGCATCCAGGGGAATTCCCAATCCTCAAAAATTGTCCCATTGGGATTCGGCATCCGGAGGAATTCCTAATCCTCAAAAATTGTCCCATTGGGATTCGGCATCCGGAGGCCTTCCCAATCCTCAGAAATCATCCCATTGGGATTCACCATCTGGAGACCTTCCCAGTCCTCAAAAATTTTCCTGTTTTCGGGATCTGCTTTCCATTGGGATTCAGCATCCAGAGGTCTTCCCAGACCCCAAAAATTGTCCCGTTTGGATCGGCTTCCCGTTGGGATTTGGCATCTGGAGGCCTTCCCAATCCTCAAAAATTGTTCCCGTTGTTGGGATCCTCTTCCCGCTGGGATTCAGCATCCAGGGATCTTCCCAATCGTCAAAAATCCTCCCATTTTTGGGTTGATCTTCCCATTGGGATTCGCCATCTGGAGGCCTTCCCAGACCCCAAAAATTGTCCCGTTTGGATTGGCTTCCCGTTGGGATTCGGCATCTGGAGGCCTTGCCAATCCTCAAAAGTCGTCCCATTTTTGGGATGCACTTCCCGCTGGAATTTGCCATCTGGAGGCCTTCCCAATCCTTAGAAATTGTCCCATTGTTAGGATCCGCTTCCCGTTCTCAAAAATTGTCCCATTGGGATTCGGCATCCGGAGGAATTCCTAATCCTCAAAAATTGTCCCATTGGGATTCGGCATCCGGAGGCCTTCCCAATCCTCAGAAATCATCCCATTGGGATTCACCATCTGGAGACCTTCCCAGTCCTCAAAAATTTTCCTGTTTTCGGGATCTGCTTTCCATTGGGATTCAGCATCCAGAGGTCTTCCCAGACCCCAAAAATTGTCCCGTTTGGATCGGCTTCCCGTTGGGATTTGGCATCTGGAGGCCTTCCCAATCCTCAAAAATTGTTCCCGTTGTTGGGATCCTCTTCCCGCTGGGATTCAGCATCCAGGGATCTTCCCAATCGTCAAAAATCCTCCCATTTTTGGGTTGATCTTCCCATTGGGATTCGCCATCTGGAGGCCTTCCCAGACCCCAAAAATTGTCCCGTTTGGATTGGCTTCCCGTTGGGATTCGGCATCTGGAGGCCTTGCCAATCCTCAAAAGTCGTCCCATTTTTGGGATGCACTTCCCGCTGGAATTTGCCATCTGGAGGCCTTCCCAATCCTTAGAAATTGTCCCATTGTTAGGATCCTCCTCCCGCTGGGATTCAGCATCCAGAGATCTTCCCAATCCTCAAAAATCTTCCTGTTTTTGGGATGCTCTTCCCATTGGGATTCGCCATCCGGAGGCCTTCCCAGACCCCAAAAATTGTCCAGTTTTCGGGATCTGCTTTCCACTGGGATTCAGCATCCAGAGATCTTCCCAAGCCTCAAAAATCCTCCCATTTTTGGGATGCTCTTCCCATTGGGATTCGCCATCCGGAGGCCTTCCCAATCCTCAAAAATTGTCCCGTTTTAGGGATGTGCTTCCCACTGGGATTTGGCATCCGGAGGAATTCCCAATCCTCAGAAATTGTCCCGCTGGGATCCGCTTCCCGTTGGGATTCGGCATCCAGAGTTCTTCCCAATCCTCAAAAATTGTCTCGGTTTTTGGGATGTGCTTCCCGTTGTGATTCGGCATCCGGAGGCCTCCCCAATCCTCAAAAATCCATCCCATTTTTGGGATCCGCTTCCCGCCGCCGCTTCCCGCCGCTGCTTCCCGCCGCTCCCTGCTCCACCTTGGATCCGTTGGATCGACAAATCCCGTTCCCAACGGAATCCCATCCCCATCTTTGCGACGTCCCCGTGTTTCCCCTCCCCGTATCCCGGATTTTTTTGGGACGGCGTTCCCAAAAAACGAGCTCGGAATGGCTTTTCGGGCCGCTCCTCGCGCTCCGCCTCGGGATTCCGCCCGAAATTCCAGAGGGTGATTTTCCAGCTGGTTGTGATCCCAAAGTTTCTCCCGGGAGTTGGGATGCTCCGAGCTGCTGTGCCGGGAATGCCGTGGTTGCCTCTCCGTGCTGGAAATCCAATTTCCCGATTTTTCCCTATTTTCCCCTACTTTTCCCCATTTTTCCCACCTATTTTACCCCCCTTCCCCCATTTTCTTCCTTTTCCCCTCCACTTTTTCCCTCTTTTTTCCCACTTTTTCCCCCTTTCACGTTCTTTTCCCATTTTCCCCCTTTTTCTCCCCATTTCCCCCTTTTTCTCCCCATTTTCCCGTTTCCCCCATCTTTCCTTTTTTCCCATTTTTCCCTCTTCTCCCCTTTTGCCCCCTTTATCCTGTTTTTTCCCTTTTTCTCCTTTTTTTCTCCTTTATCCCCCTTTTCCCCCTTTTTCCATTTTCTTCGCTATTCTCCCCTTTTCTCCCCATTTCTCATTTTTCCTCCTTTTCTCCCCTTTTATCCCCATTTTTCCCCTTTTTTCTCTTATTTCTCATTTTCCTCCCTTTTCCCCTTTTTCCCCATTTCTCCTTTCCCCCACTTTTCCCCCATTTTTCCCATTTTTCTCCCTGTTCTCCCCAGTTTCTCCTTTTTTCCTTTCTTTCCCCTTTTTGCCCCTTTATCCCCATTTCCCCCTTTATCCCCATTTTTCCCCTTTTCCCCCATTTTTCCCCTTTCCCCCTTTTTCCTCCTATTCTCCCTTTTCTCCTTTTTTCTCATTTTTCCCCATTTCCCCCCTTTTCCCCTTTTTTTTCCTTTTCTTCACTTTTATCCCCATTCCCCCCATTTTTCCCCGCTTTTCCCATTTTTTCTCCCTTTTCTCCCCAGTTTCACTTTTTTCTCCTTTTCTCCTTTTTTCCTCATTTTTTCCCCATTTTCCCCCTTTTCCCCTATTTCCCCCTTTTTTCCCTTCCCCCTTTTTTCCCCTTTTTCCCATTTTTCTCCCTATTCTCCCCAGTTTCCCCTTTTTTCCCTTTTTCCCCCTTTATCCCCATTTTTCTCCTTTCCCCCCCTTTCTTCCTATTCTCCCTTTTTTCCTCATTTTCTCCCTTTTCTCCCGTTTCCCTCACCCTTTCCCCTTTTTCCCCTTTTCCCCCATTTTTCCCCTTTTCCCCCTTTTCTTCCTATTCTCCCTTTTTTCCTTTTTTCTCATTTTTTCACCTTTTTCCCCTTTTCCCCCCATTTATCCTTTCCCCTATTTTCCCCTTTTTCTCCTTTCCCCCCGCTTTTCCCACTTTTTCTCCCTTTTCTCCCCAGTTTCACTTTTTTCTCCTTTTCTCCTTTTTTCTCCTTTTTTCCCCATTTCCCCCCTTTCCCCCTTTTTCTCCTTTTCCCCTTTTTTCCCC